CATTTAGTTTAAATTCAGCATTTCAAAGTGTAAAACATTTCTGCTTCCAGCTGATCGAAATGCGAAATGTTGTAAAACAGTACAGTATGAGTAACTGCTCACAATCCATCGGGAAAAAACCGCCTAGAAGAACCCTGGATTCCACAGCGCAACTATCGAAAGATAAACAAACTTTGACGTTTAACTTTTGCAGGCTACTTTGCCTCTTTGACTATATGTTTTTAGTATTACTTCTACGTGAAGTCAACGATTTACATAGTTGAAGATGCTAATTTCAAATAACAGACTGTAGTGGTAATTTTTATACGATAGATGGAGTAGATGAAAGCATAGAGTTGATAGTTCCGTTAGAGTACGGCAGTGTGAAGATTGTATATAGAGATTAGAATAGCGAACTAGGACAACTTTTAAGGAAGGTACAAATCGGTTTTTTCATCTCTCTTTTACCACTACAGTCTGTTATTTGAAATTAGCATCTTCAACTATACTTTGCCTCGATAAATGCTGCCATAAAACTGAACGGCTAGGATCAAGCAAAATGGTTTTAGATAAATACAATTCCACCAGCAAGTTTTCTCCATAAAAGCCATATTAAAACCTTATGAATTTGTTAAGGATTTCTTGAAAGCAAAACAACTTTTCACCCATGACCCATGAAAATCAACTTTTATGCCACCGCCATGTTACAATTAGTTTGCTTTTTTTTTACAATCTTCGATTTTCAATCTATGTTTCCTTGGTTATAACTTTATTTTGGTAAATTTAGCAATGAGCAAACATGCGAAAAACATTTAAAAAAAATCTCGGCCTACCTCGATCTGAAGAACTGTTTTTTTTTTTTTTTTTCAATGTAAAATAATTAGTCAAATGAACGTTTTACAAGGGCGGACTTATTTTTTTCAATGTTTTATCGTACATTTCACATAAAATTTAATAAGACACTTAAAACTAGGCCACTTAATGAAAACGTTTGTCAAGGGGTAAGTCACTCAGCACATTGTGCCGAAATTAGATTCGGCACAGCTTGTGCACATCCATCGGCACAATATCGCAGGCATCCGATTGTTGTAAATAAAATAGGAGCATTGCTGGACAACTGTCATTGAAGTTGTTCAAAACGTTACGTGCGGTTGGACTGTATATTTAGGAACATCCTCTAATTAAATATACCAGAGAAACTTATACCAGCAGTTCACTTCCCTAGCAGCACACTTCTAAATGAGCTGTTGGGGTTACTTGTTTGCAACTTATTCCAGTCACAATCAAGCTACAGCAACTTATTTCCATTGAAGTGTGCTGCTTGGGTTATAGATCTAAATACGAAATCCAGGTTCTAGAGTGGGCTCAAGAGAAAGAGGCAGTTAATCAGACCTTTTTAGTACCCTTAATGCTGCAAATCACATAAAACAAACTAAAGAAGTCTATTCATCATCCTCTATAGTCCGTCTCCAACAATGCTCCCCACCGGTTCCAACTTTTTCCGGCCGCTGATAGATCAGTGCCTTTAAAACCAAGAAAGGCTAGGTTTCTGATCTGGCTTTGAGGGCATTATAAAACCCTAAAACACAGGACTTTTAGTATCCTATGAACAAAAAACACCAAAATTTCACACATCACCACTTCCCGCGTCATCCTCAATCCGATTTATCCTTGCGATTTCAAACCAAAACATTGAAGGTGCCAGAAATACCGGGTTGCAATCGCAGCTTGCTTTATGACCGGCACAATCGGCAAACCTGCGGCACACTTGCGGTATGGTACACTAACAAAAAAGACTACCCAAGATTGGTGTGCGGAATGACCTACCCTTTGACTATTGTAATAGATTTGGATATTCAACAAGATTTGTATACAATCAGTTTCTTTTTTAATTATTTTGATAAGCTCGGATTCATAAATCCTTTTCTATCTTGATTGATGCTTTACCAGTGGATTTAGCAAGTGGCTAGGGGAAATGGCTCGGAAAGGGTTTTTATTGTTGCTAAATAGCTTTTGTTGTAGCTTTCAAAAGGTTCTCAATGCGTTCGTCATACAACCTTTTGAAGTAAATCAATCTTGAAGAACTTCGAGAATACACCCTTCAGAACCTTCTTCAGGGTGGGCCAACTAGACATATTCTAGTCTTAGTAAGGTTTTGGTGGATGCATTGATGACAAAATAGCCTTGGCCAGGGTTTTACGAATGTTGTTTTATAGTTGCTTTGTAGTATTTCGTGAAACTTAAAATGTTACTTGGGCGTTCTGATGGAGGAGGCTTATTGGATAGTGAAAGATAAAGTGTTTATTGTGTTGTACCTTTTGACTATAGTTTTAATTTGTGTTGTATAGTGAACAAGAATCTTCGGCTCTGTAAAGTTAATTCGATTGAACCTTGACTAATAAATAAATTTAAACAAAAATATTTGTAGACGTTTGTTTATTTATTTACAATGGCTGACGCACAACTTTGCGCAAGGATGCGTGGCGCGCAACTTGTTTGGTGGCCTGTGGAAAAGAATTTCAACAACATTTTGCATTTTGGATCACCACAAGGGGTTGGTCACTCTACACAGTGTGTCAAAATCAAACTTGAGCACACTCGGGCCCAGTCATTGGCGCTGTTTGGCACCCATGGTTACAATTTTTATGTTGTCGAAACATAGGAAAATCCACGAACCCTTCATTTTATCTGTCAAACTTTCATAGCGAATCAAAACAAACATAGTGTAGTACTAGAATTTCGACTAGAATGGGGTACGTTAATCGATTTGCTTGGGACCAATGGGCTAGTTAATTAGTGAGCCACTTTAAAATCGTTAGTTTCCACCGGTTGTTAAAACTGCTTGACGAATGGTGTAAAACGCACCGGAAGGGTAATATGCGCTACTACGATATTACGCTTAATATTTAGACACTTTTATCAACTTTATATTGCACCAAAATGAAGTATGCAATTCAAATCTACAAATTTATTATTACCGCTCCAAAAAAAAAAAAAAAGTTAATTTGAATGCTTTTCCATGTAAGATTTGTTCAACTGTTTTCATTGGGAAAAATAAGAGCATTCCTAACATTTGATATATGAATCAACTTGCTGCATTACTAGCTTCGTGATCTGTGTGAAAAGAGAATGTTTTTCGATCACAATTCAGCGTTTTTAAGGTACAAAGTTCTGAGTTGAGGGTGGGACAATGCCGTATGCCGTGTGGTTTAGTAATCCCTAAACAGCCGTTGACGTTTAAATTGCTGTGATGGATTACGTAAAACAGGAGTTACAGATAGTGGAAACCTTATAAAAGTGTTCTAAATACAACCTAAATGTATACTTCTCGCAAAAATATCGTACGAATAGTCCAATGCAACCTGCATAACATCTTTAAAAAATCGCAACACTTACGTAACCCTTGCAAGTGGCCCATTATTTTGTACAGCTAAAATCGCAATTAAACGGTACTCATTTAGAATGTGATTAATTGGTACCCCTACACTGATAATTTAAACTATTCCCATTTTGCTTGAAATTGAATCAATTTGACATTAAACTCAGTTTAATCATATCGAATGATTCAAAATTAACACTATCTTTCTAAAAAATAATCATCTGATATTAAAACCCGTTGAATCATGGTTGATTAGATTGAAAATTATAATTTTTGAATAAACTTTAATCATTTTTGATTCTATTTTAATATTTTAATCTTTTTTGATTATATATTAATATTCAAAAAGAATAAAATTTAATACTGGAACGATTATTTCGAATTTAATCATGCAAGACTACTGCCGAAGTAATTCTGGCTCGGACTCAATAAGGTGAAGCGGGAATCTGAATACTTTTTAATCTTTTTTGATTTAATTTATCTTTGAGTGTACAAAGGTGCGTAATGCCATAGGGCACCTTTGCAGGGGTACCAGTTCAACCAATTCTAAATGAGCGTCGTTTAATTGCAATTTTAGCTACTCAAACGGTACTTATGGATTAACGTTGAAGAAATTCTTTCTCCTTAACCAACCCAACAGAAAGATTTGATTCTAAACTCAAAAAACCTCGCCAAATAAATACAAACAATTCTCCGAACCCCATCCACTTGTCCCTGAGACAGTCGGTTCACCCCCGCGGGATTCGTGTGTAATATTCCGCTCCGAAGGCAACAGCAGCAACAGTCCACAGACCGGTCATCATTGCCTAGGGGGCAGTCCCTCGCCCGAACCGTCCTTCTCTTCTCTTCCGAAAAGTAAGTCAGTCACATCACCACATACGGTAGCGTGACATGATGGCGTTTTTCATTTCATTCATTCCAACCAGTTTGTACGATGGACTCGGTTTTTTTTTTCATCACAGTCATAATCATTTCCATTTCGCAGATCTTTGTGTATGCAGACGGCAAAATGAAAAAAAAGCTAGCCCTCATTTCTGACGAAACTGTCAATGACAAAAATGTGAACATGTGTGTGTGTGTGTGTGTGTGTGTGTGTGTGTGTGTGTGTGTGTGTGTGTGTGTGTGTGTGTGTGTGTGTGTGTGTGTGTGTGTGTGTGTGTGTGTGTGTGTGTGTGTGTGTGTGTGTGTGTGTGTGTGTGTGTGTGTGTGTGTGTGTGTGTGTGTGTGTGTGTGTGTGTGTGTGTGTGTGTGTGTGTGTGTGTGTGTGTGTGTGTGTGTGTGTGTGTGTGTGTGTGTGTGTGTGTGTGTGTGTGTGTGTGTGTGTGTGTGTGTGTGTGTGTGTGTGTGTGTGTGTGTGTGTGTGTGTGTGTGTGTGTGTGTGTGTGTGTGTGTGTGTGTGTGTGTGTGTGTGTGTGTGTGTGTGTGTGTGTGTGTGTGTGTGTGTGTGTGTGTGTGTGTGTGTGTGTGTGTGTGTGTGTGTGTGTGTGTGTGTGTGTGTGTGTGTGTGTGTGTGTGTGTGTGTGTGTGTGTGTGTGTGTGTGTGTGTGTGTGTGTGTGTGTGTGTGTGTGTGTGTGTGTGTGTGTGTGTGTGTGTGTGTGTGTGTGTGTGTGTGTGTGTGTGTGTGTGTGTGTGTGTGTGTGTGTGTGTGTGTGTGTGTGTGTGTGTGTGTGTGTGTGTGAATAAGACATGGAATCAGGTGGAAATTTACGAGTTGTCAATGACAACGACTGCCATCGGCCATGGAAAAGGAACAGCCAGACACGCCACCACACACTAGCTCATGCAGTTTAGCGAAAGTTGAGGAGAAGCCCTGCGGGAGGATCTCTTCAGGTCCCGCATGATTGAAGTTTCGATTAATTAAGCGCAGACGTCAGTTAGTTAGGTTCGATCATACGTGCAGTCTGACCTTGGCAACACTGGTGTCATCCGTGTAAGGCACCTTCATCCTAAGGCTATCGGTTCTTCCTAAATGCAGCGCGAGAGTGGGTCAGATATTAGTGAATCTGTGTTGGTTGTATGGATTAAAGTTATTCTAGTACGGTGAGGGTAAGTACGGAACTTATGTAATGCCGATAGTATTGGTCCTAGAACGAGCGTAGTAGTAAGCCCCCTGGATGGACGGCCCTTAGCTAATGATATCACTGTGCCCGTTTTGACGGAGCATCTCGAGCCGGAGTTCGTGTTCGCGAGCCTTCAGACGTAGGGCGGCTATCGACGAGCTGCGTCGATCCTGGGGAGGTGTCGTAGATCCAGGTGCAGGAGCGGAACCACCCCCCTGCTGGGGAGAAACAACTGGCACTGAAGTGGGTGACACCGGTGGGGAGGCCGGAGTCGGAAGGTTTGCCGGAGGTTGTGGCCCCACTGTTGTGAGGTAATCGGAACTAGTCACACCCCCAGGCGGGGACGGTTTGGACGGCATCACTTGGGGTGCTCGCTGGGCGGCGGATATGTTGGCCAGTAGCGTCTGAAACGAGGCCGACGGGGTGTAGAGGGCTCCAACTCCCGGCGGAAGCAGTGGCGGTGGGGGAGTTCTAAAATTGAACGAACTATTGATAGGTGATTTTTGTGCCTCAGAAAACCCGTCTAGTAAAGCTTACCTATGAAATTGGTTGAAATAGGCCGACGGTAGCACGTGGCCACCTCCAAGCGTGGGATAGCGGAACGCAGCCAAACTGGCTGCGTCGAAGGGTTTCCGCAGGTTGAAGCCCAGGTGAGTGAACGGATTGGGCGGCAGAGATGGAGCAACGACCGTCGCAGACGGAACTTGACCTCCCGAGGCCAGGTACGGGTTGTAGGGATGACCTTGGGGGCCCACCTTTTCCTGCTTTCGCCACTTTGCCCGGCGATTCTGGAACCAGACCTGGAATGGGAAATGAGAATAAAGATTAAGAGATTGAGCTACTGAGGGTACTGGATATTCAAAATTCTTGCAATGGTTGACATTTTCTTACATAAGATTTTATAGTTAGAAGAAAATAATTTGATATGGACGAATTTTGTTCTTAAAAATCTGAACATATATTACCATCCCATTGGCTTTTTTCTGCACCGTGACGCTGGTGGGAGGGCTTAATGTCTTGTTATAATGGAGCGTTGGAGACGGTGGGTTTATGGCCGGCCTCTCTAGCTCATGTCGTGGCAGTGTACCGTCATTGGTGGGCGATTAATGAGCCTTCCGTCTCTAATGAACCATGGCTTGAGAGCACCAAAGTTCTAGCCGCTAGTGACAGTATGATACTGTATATCTGTACATCTGTATATGCTTTATCCGATAGCCATGTCGCAGCACGTTTATGTAAAGGCACTGTCTTTGGGTTTGGGTGTGGTTTTAGCGGGATAGGCCGCAAGTTACTCTTATTTTATTTTGACGCATATTATAATAGTTTGATTTAGTTTTGAAAGGGAAATATACTCTTTGAAACTAATCAAGAGTAGACGTTTCGATCTTAAATGAATAATTTGGAGAGGAAAATTTATCTTGCTGAGATTGAATCGCTATCGGTTCAATTTAAATTTTAATGTGGCTTCAAAACGTTTGTGCCACCTCTTAATCTAAATATTTTTGCTCATACTCGACGACATACCTTTCCAATCCATTTTAATCCAGAAAACGAATGGATTTTAGGATTCATGAGGCATGGATTCATCAGTTATTAGCTATTGATATCTGAGACGGTCAATAATCTCGCCAACGAGAGTTGAACCCTGACAAACTCCCAATCACTGTTCTATCCCACCAAGCTTTTTTTCCGGTCATCGTTCACAAATAAGAATAGGGAAACGGGATCCTAACGAAACTTTTCGCTTCATTACAGAAGAATAGGCAGTAGACGCTATTAATTTCATCGGAAACATGGATCTCCAACAGGCAGACTAAGTTGAAACGTAACTGTTATTTGCTACAGTCAGATATTAGATGCAAGGCAAAATCCATAAAGATCCTGAAATTTTCCTGATTTTCATAAAACATCCCTAAAAATTCTGGAATTATCTTGAAGATCTCGGAATATTTCATGAAATTTTTTAAACTTCTTCTAGATTCTCTTGACATCCCTGAAGTTCCCTGAAAATTTTCCTGAAGTAAAACCTTAATATATTTCAAATTTTCTGAACTACTGCGGACTTCCCAAATGTTACCACAATTTTCCAAAAATTCTAGGAAGTTCCTGAAGTCTTAACAGTATTCCAGAAATTCTTGAAACTTCTTAAAAATTTCTGTAATTTCCCTGAAGCCAATTGAGCTGACCTGAAGTCCTTTGACCTTCTCTGAAGTTCTCTGAACTTTTCTAGTGTTCTTGAAATTCTCCTGAAACAGTACCAAGAGTTTATAAAATACTGAGAAATTTAGAGAATTAAAGGGCAGTTCGAATATCATCAGGAAAACACGTGATAGATTAAAAGATAAAATACTGATGCATGGAGGGGCTGTCTTAATCGGGTAGTCCATAAAACTGAAAGTAGAAAGTCCATAAGATGTGAAAAATTCATAAAATGTTTAGGAGCTCCACCGAATTTCAGAGGTTACCAATGAAGCATATGATTGCTAAGGATTGTTCTATTTAGTGCAAGGCAGTACCAAGAGCTTTGCACTAAATAGACCAATCCTAAGCATTCATATGCTTCATTGGTAACCTCTGAAATTTGGTAAAGTTTTTAAACATTTTACGAAAATTTTTCACATCTTATGGATTTTCTACTTTCAGTTTTATGGACTACCCGATTGAAAAACCCTTTCCGGCCATCAGTATTTTATCTTTTCATCTCTTACGTGTTTTCCTAATGTTTTTCTAGCTGCCCGATAATTCTCTAAATTTCTCAGTATTTTATTAAATTTCCCACTATTCTTCTGAAGTTAATTGAATAGTCCTAATCTTCCTTGAAATTTCCTTAATTTTCCTGAAGTTTTGAAAATTTCTATGAAGCTCGGCTAACTTCTCTGAAATTCTCGGAATATCCCATAATTCCTCGAAACTCCTTGAAAGTTTTGGCACTTTTCCTGACATTAATGGGACTGCTCTGAAGTTCTCTGATGATCTTCGAAGCATTAGAAACATCCCTGGACATAATGAAACTACCTTAAAATCTTTGATCTACTTTGAAATTTTATACACTTTATTTCGGAGATTTCAGGACTCCTTAAATATTCTGACAATTTTCTAAAAATTAATGAAACTTTCTTTGATCTTCGACATTTTTTATGTTCTCGAATCTGCCATTGAAAACACGGAATTTCCCTTAGAATGTTTCCACATTTTCTTGACGTTGATGTAACTTCCCAAATGTTTCCAAACTTTTCATGAACCTTTCGGAACTTTGCTGAAGTTTTCCCTTTAAAGTTCCAGTAATTTACAATTACTTAATTGAACTGCCCTAAGGTTCTCCGATCTGTACTGATATTTTTGGAGCTCCCTCACTTCTTCGTCTTCTTCTTCTTCGCATTATAAGATGCTACAGTTGTTAATTGAGAGTTTTCGATCCCTGTAATTGAGTGGCAAGAGCAATCCTACTATATGTCCAGGGAAGTCGTGAAATTTTCCAACCTGAAAAATTCCTAGACCGGACCGGAAACGAACCTTGTGCCTTTATTGAGCTAAGGAAGGCTTTCTTGAAGTTCTCTCAAGTTTTTGGTACTGCCCTGAAATAAATGGAACTGTCCTGAAATGCTTTGACCATCTCTGAAACTATCTTTTCATACGTTCTCTGGAGTTCTGTAGAGTGTCCTTAAATTCCCGGAACTTCTTCATGGATCTCGAAATTTTTCAGAAGTTAATGGATCTGTCTCGAATTTTTCGGAACATACCAGAAAATCTGAACTTTTCTGAAGCTCGTGGAACATCCCTGAAATTATTGAACCCGCACATACGATATGTCTGAAAATCCCTAAAGATCTCAACACCTAGTTTTTCTAAAGGGTGTCCCATATCAAATTGTATCAAGGAAAAAAAAACGCTGTAGAAAATTTGGTTAGAAGTAGTTAACATTGTATTGTTTCACAGGCCCAGAAACTGTACACCCAGATGCTGACGAATCCCCATTATCTCATCATGGATGATGAGACTTACGTCAAGACGGACTTCCGGCAGCTTCCGGGGCTACTGTTCTTCACCGCCCAGCACAAGTTTGATTTTCCGGAGGAAGTAAGGAAGCAGAAACTTTCAAAGTTTGCCAAGAAATACATGATTTGGAATGCGATCTGCTCATGTGACAAACGGAGTCCCCAGAATTGTAAACGGGGAGATCTACCTCAAGGAGTGTCTACAGAAGCGTCTGCTTCCTCTGTTGAAGCAGCACGAGGGCCCTACGATCTTTTGGCCGGATCTAGCTTCGTGACACTATTCAAATGTTGTCCTGGAGTAGTACAAAGCCAACGGGGTCACTTTCGTACCCAAGGACATGAACCCCCCCCCCCCCCCCCAACGCACCGGAATTAAGGCCCATCGAAAAATATTGGGCTATTAACGCTCCGAATACGATGCCTCCGAAAAACGTGTAACGGCAAGTTTTCAATGGCATAACTTGGCCATTTCTTGATTAATTTGAAAAATTGTGGTACTTCTAGAATTCCTAGGGTCTGTATATGATTTTTATTGTAAAAAGATTAAAAATAGGGTCGTCTACTTTATTCAAAAGCGAAAATCCAAAAGATCCTTAAAAGTGGTCCATCCATGAAACTGATCCTAGAGCTTCGCAGTTCTTTCGAAAACACGTGGAACTGTAATATAAGAAAGAATTTTGGGTCGTGACATAAATATGGACCCGGTTGGCTATGGAACCGTCCTTCGGAAGATTCAGAGCATCGGTAAAATTGGTTCATCCATCCAGTTTTTTTTTAATCTCTTGGAATTGTGATATAAGAAAAAAATCCTGGATGGCCATGAGACCGTATTCTGGAAAATTTGGCATACCCTTCAAAGTGAAACTTTTCTCAAAAACACTTCTAACTGTGAAGTTTTCAAACAAAAAAATCACGGTTTTTTCATATTTTCATTTATGAAACACTTTTACGGATGTTCCAGATCTTCCAGACGATGATCTCATGGTCATGCTTATGATTACATGTTTATGACTCCTTGACCCCAAATTCTTTCTTATATCACTGTTCCTAATGTTTTATAAAAAAAACTGCGAAGCTCTAGGATCAGTTTCATTGGTTGACCTCTTTTAAGGATGTTCCAGACGTACCAGAGGACGGCCCCATGGTCATCTTGATCCATTTTTATGTCATGACCCCAAATTCTTTATTATATCACAGTTTCAAATGCTTTCGAAAAAACCGTAGAACTTAGGATCATTTTCGTGGATTGACCACTTTTACGGATGTTCCGGATCTTTCGGAGGACAGTCTCATGGCCATCCGGGACCATGTTTGTCACGACCTCAAATTCATTATATCATCACAGCTCCTAGTGTTTTTCTAAAGCTGCGGAGCTCTAGGATCAGTTTCATAAATTGACCACTCTTACGGATGTTTCGGATATTCCGGAGGACGGTCTAATGGCAATACAGGTTCATGTTTATGTCATGACCCCACATTATTTCTTATATCACAGTTCCTAATGCTTTCGAAATAACCGCGGAGTTCTAGGATCAGTACAGAACCTAATGAGTGGAGTTAAGCGTAAGGTGCGAGCGTACGGTTATGGTATTGAAGTTGAATGAAATAAATATGCCAAAAGCTTACTAATAGGTTATATTTTATTGTCTGAATGTTTGAAAAGAATCGGTCAACTAGCGTTTTTATATGTGATGCAATTTGATGTGGGACACCCTTTAAGATACTTGAGACCTTTTAAAGTTTAAAGTTCAAGGTCTCTTGCTTTCCCTGAAGTTCTTTGGATGTCTCTGAAGTTCTGAAGATAA